ACAATAAAGAATAGAAGTAGGCCTAAAAGACAAAGCTGGTCTTAAAAAATACAAAGTGATGCCATAGCTCTTTTCCTCTTTACATCAGTGTGATTGTGTGAAACAAATATGAGAACTAAGTATAGATATAAAAGTTTCATTTTCTAAGTCAAGAAACACAAGGTAAGAAGAATTTAGTGTTTTACTATCCCTAAAGTATGAGGAGTCCTAGTTGCCATGGTAAGTGTTTGGTGCTCCAGCACATCACAGTGCATGAGATTGTCTCACACCAGATCAAACCAGAGAAAATTAACTGCATGTAGAATAAAAAATCCATTCTTTTCAAGAGCCTACAACTTGGCTATGCATGGAACACTTAAAGTAGCAATTTACATGCATTAAAATACTTAGTGTGGGAGCAGGATCTGGTGATAAATCAAGATAGAATGTTGACTATTAATGATGCCAGCTGATTTGTGACAGTTCATTATAACCTTTTTCTTCTGTTCATATGTAAAAGTTTTACTAAGAAAAAGTTTAGAAAACTGTAGGTGACTCTTATCTCAAGAGTGTTTTCCCCATAGTGTCCCCCAAAGGCAAAATCCTAGCTATTTTAGTTTTAAAACTGAAAAATATCAAAACTCACAGAAAAGACGACTGTAAGGGATAGAGTTTATTAACCATAAAAAAGAAAAAAAAATAGTTAGTGTCCATTACAAGCTAATGTTGTGGGAACAAAATAAAAAATATCAGAGAATGTGGACCAGTGAGACGGCTCAGTGGGTAAAGGCACTGCCACCAAGCCTGGCAACTGACTTTGATACCTAGAAGCTGCACAGCAGGTAGGAGAGATCTGGCTCCGCAGGCTGTCCTCTAAACTTCCACACGCACACTATGGCATACGGACACCCACCCCCTTGCACGCTCGCACGCAGGCGCGCGCGCACGCGCACACACACACACACACACACACACACACACACACACACACACACGCAGGCCATCCTTCTCCGGAATTAATTGGCTCTCCATCTGAAAAGGTAACTTATCCAACCAAATTTCTTCACTGGATGGAAGAGTTCTGGCAGTTTTTCTTAACTAGTAAAGTCTGATAGATGTTTTTCAAAGATATGGTAGTCATAAAACTTTTTTAGTAAGTTTTCATAAAAAGAAAGTGAAACAACTTGAGGAACAGAACTTCACTGTCATGCTAATAAGATTTTATATCTTAAAAATACCCTAAAGTGGGGAAAATGAAGGTCTGACTGATACACCCTGCAAGTCCTGAAATAGCCTGCTTGCAACTAATTACCCTCTTGTCCACCCTGGACTCGCAAATGACCACCCTCTGTTTCCACCCCAGAGAGCCACACCACTTTTTAAAAAGCACTTGCATAAAACTTTCTGGGAAGTTTCAAAACAGATTAAATAACAATATCATCATATGTTACTTAGTTTTAAAGGCTTTTATGCAATGGAAAATGATCCATTCAGGGATTGTCAGCCAAAAAAAGTGACATTTAACCTCTTCACTCTTTCTACCTTAAATACTATCCTCCTTGTGCAGACCTTATAATTTTGTCGTGTTTTTTTTTTCCCCTAAAATTCATTGCATCAAAGTTGTCTGTATTGCCATGGGAAGTTTGCAACACTTCGCCCAGCCTGGCTGAAATGATGGAGCCTTGCAAATGACTGGGCTCCTTGATTATGCTCTCACTGTGGCTATGAATCTAATTAAACTAAGAAACACCTTTAATTATCACAGGATAATAGAATCAACTTATGACTCAGGAATCTGATTACTGCTGTAACCCAAATTTACTCTTAAGTCTGATAATCAGGATGCTCATCAGATATTCTGTAAGTGTAGTTTTTAATATTTTATGAAGTAACTTTTTTACTATAATCAGAAAATTCTTCAGACTGTGATGATATTCAATGTGAAAATATAGAACATTATGTTTCTTTGGCTGGCTTTACAGGTAGCATCTTCTTAAATGAACATATCTTTACATTACACCAATTTTATTCTGCCTCAAGTTAGATTATTCACATTATTCTTAGCATTTAAAGAATCCTACTAAAGATATTATAAGATTTGCTAGTATTCTGAGATGGATGTGTACACAGCCATCCATTGGTATTATTTGGAAACTGACTTCAGGAACCAAATCCTGCAGATGCTCAAATGGCTTGTGTAAAATGACAAGTTTACATCTAACTTATGCATGGCCTCCCATGTGTGCTTTATACAAAACAGTTTTATACTATTTTGTTTGATGAATAATAACAAAAATCAGTGCATGTTCAGTAAAGACACAATTTTTAAAATTATTTTTGATTGGTAGCTGAAAATGTTGATAAAAGGGTTCAATTGCCAATCTTTATTCATAGGCACATAAACAAACAAAACTATATATACACTGCACGTATGAAAATATGTATACATATTTTATATATAAATAGAATATATATAACATATGCATGTATATGTATCTATATGTTTAAAGTTGGTTCTGCTAACCATTCAAGAGAAATTTATGGACAGGCTTTGCATGCCCTAAAGTTGCACTTTATATATGTATATTGTTGAGAGAAAGTACTACATTACTTCAGTTTAATTCTCAAAATGATCTGTGATCACTTAAAAATGGCTTTTTTTTTTTAAAGTTTAGGAACTGCCCCCCCTAGAACTTTCCCGTCTGATGCTAAACCACTAGTCACAATCGCAAGTATGATTGGAAGGGACTGTGGGTATAAAACACATAGCACATCCAGATTTTGAATAATTAACACAAAAAGGAGGTGAACAATCATAATTGATAGCACATGGTTACATGCCAAAAGATTACCTGGGATGGGTTAACAAAAAACATTACTGGCATTAATTTGACCTCTTTAAATATTTTTGTTAATGTGGCTGTTAAATGCTTAAAGCCCGTGTGTGGCTCACTGCATGTTTCTCCTAGAGTAAAGTTAGAGCCTGATCACAGGCATGCTGAAAGAGTCTAGAAAGTTGCCACCACGTTGAAGTCTAAGCAATAGTTCCCAAACTGGCTTCTAATGAGTATTTTAGTAGAAATCTCAAGGTGGCTAACATGGTGCAGTCAGCATTAAAAGGAAAGATTTAAGCTATCTTCATCTAAGGAGTCTGGCACGATTTCCTTTAGACACTGCTGAGCTTGGACAGAGAAGTCTGATATTAGTTGAACACCTGCCATCCATATTTGCAGATAATTTAAAGGGTGCATTTTGATAAGACTCCTGGGACAGTCATGACTCAAAGAAAACTTCTGCTCTTAGAACACATCAATAAAACTATACATTTAAACAACACAGAAAAGTGTTAAAGCATCACTAAAAACACATATGTGTCATGTCTGGTGAATCTAGTCCTTATGTTTATCTTGGCTACTTTACAGATATGGAAACACATTTTAAAAGACTTTTGAAAGTATTGCCATTTGAATCAAGAAGAGAACTCTACAGTGCACTTGAAGCTAGCACACCAGGGTGATCAATGAACACTCACTGCATATGTAACCATTTTCTAATTTTAATACAAAGTTTCTAGATGCAAAGATTGTTTGGTTACTATACTTTTTTAATGCCACATGCTGAAAGGAAGGTGGACCCAAGTTTTTGAAATTCTTGCCATAAATCAACTTAGGACTTTCAACGTGTTTGTGAAGTCTTGTTTGTCTGTCTGTTTTTAATGTCAATGCTAAAACCATGCTTCCTGGTTTCAAAACATACATGTGCCAGCTTGACTGGGTATCACACCTAATTGGTAGGACAGGCGTTCAATGCACTAGCCAAATAGAACACGTTCGTCCTCTAGCGAAGTAATACAGAGATATCTCATTCTCTCTCTCCCATCCCAGCCCATTGTTCACTTCTCTCATTCCTTTCAAGAGTATCATTGATCACAGTTGCTCCCTGATGTTTTCTTCTTTTCCATTCCCCGCCCTCCGCTTTTGAGTTTGAAACTGCACGTTCAGCATTCTTTTCTTTTTAAGTTTTAGCTTTATTTAGCAGTTGAAAAACTAGATCTGGGCTCCAGTGGCTCTTGTCTATGTATCTACATATGTGTTCCAGAGGGCAGAGTTAAGGTTTACTTTCCATTCAACTTGGGAGTGCGAGCTGAGCTTGGTGCACCTCGCCCCCTAGACTCCACAGCCCAGAGCACATCCGCATACCACAAAAGGGTGAGCCTCTGTCTTCTGCCCCAGCCTAACCAGAAGGTCTGCAAGGAGGTTGTACCCGAGCCCCACTCCGGCCCCTTCAAACTTCTGACAGTATTTCCTCTACCACTCAGAGGGGCGAAATAAATACACTCCCTTCCCAGTCCTGCCCAGGTTTGGTCGCTTCTATTTACCGTCTTGTACCACCAGCTTGCGAATGCCATGGCGACAACTCCCTGACTTGCTCCGAGACGCACGGATGGGGATCCTGCGAGGACGCGGAGTGAGGTGCTGGTGGGCCTAGGCTGACTCTGCCTGGCTGGGACCTGGCTGGCACCCTGCTGGGCGTCTCACAGCTGCCAGGTGGGCGGGCACAAGGGGGAGGGGCGCCACGGCCCGCCCACCGCTAGCGCGGCCCCGCCCCATCCGATTTGGCCCCAGGCTAGTTAGGGAGGAGGTGTTGGTTCCTCAGGCTGCCACTCCCTACATGAGGTTTAGGGGCGACACTCAGAGGACAAGCTCCCAGTCCAGTGACACGAGCCCACTCATTCTGGAGGTCCCGAGTGAGCTTTACTCCCCCTCCACTCCCATGCACACTGCCTGTCTCACTAGCCCTCTTTGCTCCACGAGCCCCTCCGCCCCGCTAATGTCACTACCCAATTTGGAGAGCCTCGGGCCACCTGCTTTCCTGCAGGCAATGAGCCCTAGTCGCTTCCCCGACGCTGGAAGTTGCCAAGCCGGGAGAGGTTGGGCAACGCCCCAGGACGGCGGCCGGGCACTCCTGGTGCAGGGTCCCTTCGTCTCTTGCCCGGGGGCTCAGACAGGAGAGCTACTCACCTCCTGGGTGTGGCGGGCTGCCGCGCCGCGCCGGGGCCTGGGAGAGGCGGCAGGCTTCGGGCCGGGCTGGGACATTGTGGCGAAGCCGCCGCGGGCTCAGCCTCCGGGTAGGAGCAGCGAAACTGTATAGGAGGCCCCGGTCAGACCTCCGGGCCGGAGGGGCAGGACGGTGCAGTGAGGCAGCTTTTCCGACCCAGCCCTGAGCCCGCGCCCCGCTCCCCCTTGCCCGGCTGGGCCCTCCCCTTCCTGCCCGCAGTTCACAGCAGCAGGCCAAACTTGGCGGCGGCCCAGAGCAGTAACTTAACACCCTCCGCTCCGGGTTCGTACCCAGAGACCCTCCCTGGACAGGCCCCAGAACTGCAGGGTTCTCCGTGGATGACAAACAGGGGGAGCCGAGCCGTAGGTTGCAGTTCCCGGGTTGACTTGTCCAGACCAATCTGGTGATTGTGAAACAGGAGAGCTGGACTGGGGCGTGGCCTATACCTTTTTTCCTAAGAATTTGGAGAATTAGACACCTTTTCTTCCATCTATCATTAACTCAAATCAGGCCTAAGTTTGAACTGTAGATAAGAAAGCGGATCTTAAAAACAAATTCGTCTCTGAGTTCGAGCATGCATTTGGATACTTGTGTGTTTTTCTGTCCTTTTCTTTTCTTTTTTGGTGTGTGGGGCGGGGGGCGGGGGACGATTCTGAAAGTTTACTAATGTTTTACAAGCAGGAGCCTGCTCGCTCTGATCCAAACCAGCAGTAAGCACAGATTTTAAACATTTATATCCTTTTCTGGAGACTGGGTTTTGTTTCTGAGGTTGGATTGCTTTTGTCTTGGGCTCATCTTAGGCGGCACTTCCTGGTTTGGGGCTGGACATGAAATTTAGCAATCCCTTTGAGTGCTCATCAAGAGTCTGCCAGCATGCAGCTGCTGTTGGCTGATGATGCTGGTCACAGAAAAGCCTGTGCCACCGCAGTATCACCGTCCTTTCCGGTCTTGAGTCAAAATGCTGGAGTACTGTACTTTAGACCGAGAGAGAGAAGCCAGATTAGGTATGCTATAAGGAGCTTGGCAGAATCAACATATGTTAAAGACAACAAGGCTAGTTCTCAGGCTTTGCTTGACTCAGAATCACATTAGTCGAATATTGCTGCCCAGCACATTATTGCCATGAATAAAAATTAAACTCAAGGAAGCTGAAGTATTTCACTTTGTAGTTAAGAGTTAATGAGACCATGAAAGGAAGGTATCTGCATGTGGGGAACTTAGAGATCCCCTGTATAGATAGAGATGGAATTTCCTACAATGTTTGGGCATATTGTAACTATCCTTTAAAAAAATACACCATCAGTTTCCTGCTACAAGGAGGTATCAGGGACCTGTGCTAAAGGTTTTTATAGTACCATAAGAGAAACACACACACAAAAAAACATAGTTGTCCCCCCCACACACACACACAGGACAGGGTCAAAGGCAGGCAAAGGCATGGTGGGGGGGAGGGGAGGGGAGGGCTGTAGGATCCTGAGAAGGGGCTTCTTGCTTTAATGGAGTAGAGACTGCTGGTCAACCATGGAGAAAGACTGCTCTGACCTGTTCCTTTATCATATGATTGATCCCAGTGTGTTGAGATACTCTCCAGGCTATTTTTACATTTTACATCCTTTTTCATCCCCTCTGCTTCTACTCTGGTTCAGAATTTACCACTTTTCTTTGGGAAATGCATAAAAGGAGAAAAGGAAAAGAAAATGAATGTGGAGCTGAGAGGGCACTTTAGGGGCAGAAGGAAACTGGTAGACCATTAGATTCCAGAGGCCAAGGCAAGAGTGAATTCTCAAAGAGTAGGTTGCCCCACATTATGGGTTATATAAACATAAAAGATATAACCCTAAGGTTGAATCAGATGAGGAAGGAACAGTGCTGTTATCTCAGACAGTAGGTAAAATTGAGAATTCTAAGTACTTTTGAGTTACCCATAGTAGAAGTCCCTTTCCACTTCAGGAAGTGTTTATTTATATACCAATTCCTATCCCTGGAAAAGAAGCACTGCAAAACAAACAAACAAACAAACAAAAACCCAGATGATGTACAGCGTCCTCCAGTTTCCCTGGGTTTTCCAGTTATTTTTTTCCCACTTCCTTTTAGCCAAGTTTTCTTTGTTCAATTGTTATTGTTTCCTAAAAGAAGAAAAAGAGTCTTAACAAATAGGCAGACTTATTAATAGGTACAATTCTCACAGCTTCTCCTCCCTCCTCTACCCCATGTAACATGCATGTGTTTAGATAGGAGCTTCATGATTCTGATTGTTAAATTCCCCAAAAGTATGGTTTTACTGGTTTAAAAAAAATCTATGCATAAAGGAGGGGAAAGTATGCCTTTCTTGGAGAATTATGGGAGGCCATAGGAGCCTTGGGGTGCTCTCAGGTCATCTACTTAAAGCATGCACAAAAACACAGATGGAATGAGTAGAGGGAAATGAACTGATATGGAAGAGCAAAGGAAGATGAAAGAAAGAATAATGGCAAAAAGCAGTTTTTGATTGGCACTGCCACCAAGCAAGAACTTGAGTCATACAGTACCTACAACTGCGTCCTTAGGAGTTTATTACTCATGAGTTCTGCTCTGCTTTCCTCCAGATAAAAAACAAAACAAAATATCCGCAAATGACCTTCACATGTTTTTTTTCTTATTTCTGTGAACCAAAAAAGACTGTTTGAATCTTCTCAGGAGTGCTCTTAGAAGGGACACTTGAGGAAGGGGAGGCAAAGGGAGGCAAAGGGAGAGGTTGAGCTGGGAGACAGGTTCAATAGATGTCTCAGGTAACATTGCAGGATGTTATCGTGGGATGGCCATTTAGAGTTGTCTGGGATTAAGTCTGGAGAACAGGAGCTAACCCTTGAATATACCTGGATCAACCAACCACTAGCTATTATTATTGGCAAAGAGATAGCAACTACCAAATTAGGCTACCAGATAAGGTCTGTCTCATAGAAGTGTTCCTGGAAGCTAGGGCAAGGTCTCTGTTGCTGCTGGAGGACATAAGGATGCTTTGTTGCATCTATTACACTCTTCAGTGCTCTGCAATACCATAAAGCTTAGCAAGGGAAGTTGAGGAGGGAATACACTTTGCAGAAGCATGTTGTCAGACTGCCTCATCATGAAGTATTGTGACTGAAGACATGCCTTAACCTTTGGAAGAAACCTTTCATGCTCCCAAATGTCTATGTACTTCACTTTACCCCAGACTCAGTTGTAGCTAAATTGGAGCAATGAGGACAGATCACTGAATTAAAAGAGAAAGTAATGTAGTTAACTCCAAGGTAACGAATAAAAGAGCAATAAGAATTCTCCACATTTTCTTCATCTTCTGCTGTAAGCCTCAAGTTAAAATTTGTTAAAGGTAAAAATGGGATGGGCCTGTGGAAACAAGCTGCCTTGGGGAGCCACTGGGAATGCAACAGACATGAGAAAGCAGTACTTTTTTGGCCATTGAAGACTCAGGGAGGCTGGTTATTGTTCTGTAACCTTCCTTAAACTACTAAAAGGAATATATTCATATTTTTTCTTTGTATATAGAAATTTTAATCTGTGCCTGGGCTTTGAAACTCAGTACAACAACCAGAACATTTTCCTCTAATGTATAAACTTCTATATATAATTAATTTTTACAATTAGCATGGCTCTTCTTTCTACTTTTCTTTTACTTGCTGATAATTTTACACATTCATCAGCATACCATGATCATATCCACCCAAATCCTCCTCTCCTCTTTATATCCCTCCTTTCTCTAAACACAGAGTCCTATTAATGCTATCTGCTTGAATATTGACTAAGCTTCTTGGCTTGACCATGTGGAGACAACCATAGCTACAGTGCAAGAGTGTAAATAGCATGTAATAGCCATGTCATGTCCAGAGGACAGAATTTCACAGCACTCATCATTCTCCAGCTCTTACATTCTTTCTGTCCCTTATTCTGGGATATCCCCTGAGTCTTAGGGTAGGGTCAGGAATTGACATAGATGTCTCATTTAGGGCTGTGCACTCAAAGGTCCCTTATTCTTCATATTTTGACCAATATGATTAGGAAGTTTCTATGGTTAAGGCTGAAAGCAACACCAATCCATGAGTATAATCATAAAAATCTAGAAGTCTGGTATCATGACCATTTATCAGAAAAAAAAAATGGCAGTAAATCACCCCTAAGGCCTGTAACCAACCATGCTGGCTAGTTTTATATCAACTTGCCATGAGCTAGATACATTAATGAGCAGTGAAGATGAACTGAGAAAATGCTCACACCAAATTGGCCAATGGGCAAGCCTGTCATGCATTTTCTTAATTAGTGATTGATGTAGGAGGGCCCAGCTCCCTATGGGAGGTGTCACCCTTGGGATTATGGTCCTGGATGCTATAAACGGAAGGTTGAACAAGGCATAAGGGGCAAGCCAGTAAGCAGCACTCCTCCATGGCCTCTGCATCAGTCCTTTCCTGTAAGTTCCTTCCCTGGCTTCCCTCTGTGATGAACTAATAAGTTGTAATGTAAACTAAACTCATTCCTCCTCAAGTTGCTTTTAGTCATATTGTTTTATCACACAATAGAAACTCTAACTAAGACACCTCCAAAGTCAAGGGTTTTGACCAAGTTTACAATAATAAGCACAGATTCCCTTCTGAGCAGCAAGACTCAAATCTAATCAGGAATCAAATCAAATCAAGAAGTGGTTGGTTACACTTCCTAACAGTCTTGCCATTATTGGACTAGTAGGCACATCTTGCAGACCAATATTGTAGCATGCAGGGATCACTGCTGGGTGATACTATTAAAACTTCTCCCCAGCCCCAGCATCCTACTTAGCATCTTCTGGCACTATGAGAGCTACCCAACAGATAGGGAGATTTTTAGATCAGTTCTTGCTTAATTTCTTTATGTCCTGCATCTAAAGTACGTGATGCCTTCAGCAATAGGGTCTTGTTTTCCAGCTTTTATAGAGGTCCACAAAGATTTCTTATTGAGATCTGAGCTTGCTTTACCCAGCAGAGCTGCATTGGAGGATTGCTTGACCATGTGCATGGTTTCTAGGTGATTGGAAGGCTCTACACTTGGCTGAGCTAGGGGGAGGTCATTTGCTCCACCTCTTGGCATTCCTATAAATAGCCCTTTAGAAGAGCCAGAAGGGGCTGGTGGATAAGGATCTAGGCCTTCTCGAGGCTATATTGTGTTTCTATCTGTCTCTCTCCCTTCTATATTTCTATTTAAATATTTCTCACTTCTTTCTCCACAAGAGTACCCTGCGGTAAAAGTAGGATCGAATCTCCCACAAGTTATCCAGTTATGGTAGAGCTATGATAATAGTCTGTGTTGTTCTGGGTACTCCATAATACTCTCTGAGCATTCATCAGGAGGTATCCCATACCTGGCATTATTATGTCACCATAACTTCCTATTTTCTACCCATATACTAGGATAGTTTTAGTGCATACAGTCTATCTCTCAAATAATCTTGGGTGTGTTGTATTTACATATATGTGAACACAGTGCCAGTGATATGCCCAGGTGATTGATGTGTGTGTGTGTGCGCGCGTGTGTGTGTGTGTGTGTGTGTGTGTGTGTGTGTGTGTGTGTGTGAGCATGTGTGTGTGTGTGTGTGTGTGTGTGTGTGTGTGTGTGTGTGTGTGTTATAGAGAATAGATGGAGGCAAAGAAAGGAAATATACCATTCCAAACAGTATTTATTGTTTCTCAAATTTACACTATACTTTAAGGATGGATATAGAGAGAAATAGGAAAGAATTTTTTTTTCTCAAGGGAATAGAACAACTCAGATAATTAGAGCTGTGCTTGAAATTTGAAATTCTATTTTCAGATTTTCACATTAAGTATTTGTTGACTAATATGTTGATATATTCTTTTCCCACAAAATTCAACATGGCTGACAGATAATTTCTAAGAATATACTGAAAAAAATTTTGAATGAAGAAATGAAAAAAACAGATAAATATGACTTTGGAGAGAAGCTACTGTTGACTTAGTTCTCCTCATGTCATCTATATGAATTAAACAAAGACCTATTGTGGCCTGGATTCCTCAGCAGCAATGCAGGGTTTCCTGCAGAAGAAGCTAGAGACTTGTGGAGAGGTGAGGGCGCCCAGTGCTCTGCAGCACTGCAGAGGGTGTTCCCTGTATCTCTAGAACGTTTTCATTTGGACAAAATGCCGGTGATGTGCCCAGGGGTGTGTGTGTGTGTGTGTGTGTGTGTGTGTGTGTGTGTGTGTGTGGTATTGTTTTGTTGCCTTCTCTTTTTAGAACTTCTACTAGGCAGACATTGTGTGTTCTGAGTAGATTCTATAATAGTTTATCCTCCCTGAACTCTCTACTTTGTAGTGAACCTCTTATCCTTTTAAAGGTTGAGATGGTACATTTGCCTTGCTGTTTGAAATGATGGAAAGTGCCTGAGATGTTGACTATGAGCTGCAAAGCCTCTCTTTTCAGCTTGGGTGTAAAGCTAGAGTCCTCAAACTGGCATTGCACCTGGCTCGGTACTATCAGAGTCCACCCCCAGGGCTCTCAAGTTGTAGCTTTCTCCACTCTTTAACAGGTCAGTTTCCTCTCCTACTTTCCATTTGTAAGATTGTATTGACATCTATGTCTGCAATTGTCACATGTCCTAGTCCCTTTATCTATGTAATTTTTAACTTTCCTTTTTTTTATTTAAACTCATTTTTCCCCATTTTACTGGGGTTCCATGGGAGAGAAGTGACAAAAAGACATGATCAATCTATCCATTAAACTAGAATTTCTCTGTGATATGGATTAAAAGCAACAGCTCTGATTAACAGACTCATTTTATAGAAAAATATATTGAATCTCAGAGAGGTCAACTAAGTGGCCTAGTACCTCAAAACTAGATCACAGCTGTTTTTACCTAAGTCTGAAGTCTACATTCTTTTTTCCATATAGAATTCTATTTTCCATGGCTACGTGAAGCAGAAGGCAGGCAACTGTTGTGTTAACAGGTCATTCAAGGCTGGCCAATACTAAGTCATTCCCAACATTAGGTACAATGTTTGACTTTTCTTTATTTGATAATTACAAATGATTTCCAACCTTCAGTCTATAATTAGAATATTTGTGGTGTAAGAATAACAAACTTTAGGGGAGACTATACAATGAATGGGTCATAGGGACTATCTTTAAGCAAAGATAATTGATATAATTTCTTTTTATCCTAACCACTAAATACTGCACAATTAAAACTCTGGAGGAGAGACATAAAGCAAAACTGAGTAACCTACCATACCTAATTATAAATTTGGCTACTGATACAATCAGGCACCCACAAAAAGAAACCCCATGTTTAGGTGACTCCTCTTTGAAGCTTCCTTAAATGTTCATGGGGAATCCTGATACCCAGCATTCAGCCAAACCCACATAAGGAATGAGATATGCACCTTTGTTCAAGATTGCGTCTTGACTCTTTGCATGTGTGGTCACTTTGTCAATCTTAAAAATAATGCAATGTAAAATATAAGATACAATGAGTGAAAGATTCTTAAAACAAGAAAAAGTAGTGACAGAAATGGTGGCCACCAGGATCCCAAGAGCTGTGTATTGCACCTTTGTGAAGAAGCACACAGTGCATGAAACCCTGTCCTGTAGTACACAGGTTTGGGAAAGGTGACTGCACAAGAGCCAAGACCACATCAGGAGCTGGACTGATGCAGCTGAGTGCTGGAGGAGAATCTCTCAGAAGACTCTACAGGCTCCCCTGTCACTGCCCTTCCCTCAGTCATTATTCCCCAGATCAAAGAGCTACTGCCTGGGCTATATTCTCCCAGGCTCCGGGGAGACATCACTCTGTACCTCGTTTTATCTTGTATCTCCAGGGTTGGACCAGACCTCCCACGGAGTGTGAATAGACTTCAGGCCAGCCAATCTAGATCCTCTGCCTTGCAGCAGAGCCAGGGCCAAACCTGCAATTGAAGATAAGCAGACAGGTGTTCATCATCATGGCCTTCTCCAAAGCCAACTACTTCTTTCCCCCTGGGTACAGGGGTGAGCACTGGGTATAGGTGTGTGAGTGAACTAAATGAAAAACAGGCTCCTGAATGATGTGCCATTCAGTGTGTGTGTATTTGTGTGGTGGGGAGAGGAATCTGGGGGCGGGGGAAGGCAGTTAAAAGGGAATAATGAAGGTATTGCTTTTAGAAAAAGGGCAGCACCTGGAGGTCAGGAAATTGTGACCTGTCTTTGGAGCCTGGCCTGAGGTACAGAGTACTCTCTCCCTCCATCCTCCTCTCACCTGATTTCTCCTGTTCCCATGCCCCCAATCCAGACATTATCCCCCTACATCCACCTGTGATGTCTAGTCTATTTCTCCTTTGCAGTGAGATTCATGGGTCATCTCTGCCTCCACCATGAACCTTCCTTGTTACTTAACTTCTTTGGGTCCATGGATTGTAGCATGGTTATTCTTTACTACAGCTAGTAGCCACTTATAAGTGAGTACATACCATGTTTGTCTTTCTGGATCTGGGTTACCTCACTCAGGATGATTTTTTTTCTAGTTCCATGCATTTGCCAGCAAATTTCGTAATTTGTTTTAAACAAATGACTAATATTTCATTGTGTAGGTGTACAACATTTTCTTTATCCATTCTTCAGTTGATGGACATCTAGGTACTTTTACCTGACTTCAAGGCCTGGAAAGATGTCTTGCAGACTGTAAGAGACCATGGATGCCAGCCCAGACTACTATACCCAGCAAAATTTTCAAGAAGTCCTTGCAAGTCAAGAAATTTTTTACTACCTTTATTATACTATGTTCTTGCTGTAGAAATGATTGAGAAAACATAAACCAAGATGGTTTACACCAAATGCTAGTACATATCACGTTCTTTCTATATGGCTATATAATATACATGACATTTTTTCTAACATTGGTTCCTGAACGTTTCTCTATGTTACTGAGAAAGAAATAGAAAAGCTTAAAGCCCTTAAGAGATCAGAAAAGGAATAGAAAAGCATGGGACAGAATAATGCTGAGGCCTCATGGTGGGTAAACCTGTGCCTGGTCATATAGACTATGCAGGATTTGAATTACGGGAAAGACCTCTCCAGCAAGAACAGCAATGGGGAAAACTTCAGGAATGGAGTACAAAACATGGGTCATGTGTGGCCTAGAGGCAGAAAGTACTACGATTAGGGAGGACAATTGAGCTGGCTGTCTGTGGACAAAGTTGGGAGAGCTGAAAGACCCGGGCAAAGGGAGAGCTTATAGGACCTGTTCTTTACGATTTCTGAAAACCAAGAAGGAGAAGTGGGTTTGAATGGGGGCCCATAGTCAAGTGAAAATGCCTTCTCCCCCATCTAAAAGTAGCAGTTAAAAGCAGTACAAGAGTAAAAATGGAATTACCCATGGGGAGAGTATCTAAAATGAGAGCAGTCTAGGTGAGAACAAGGCTATTGCTTGTGGTTACTTGAAAGTCCTTGCTTTTCATTAGCTGTCCTTGAGGTAGGTACTTAATAACATATTATTAAAACCAGGGTAAAATCAGTATATTGTAAAATTTGGTGGGTCACTATGAGCAGTTTTAAACCCAGCACTCAGAAGCCAAAGGCAGGGAGATCTCAGTGAATTCAGGGTCAGCCTGATTTATATAGTGAGTTACAGGATAGCCAAACAATGGAGAAAAAAGGAGAGAGATAGAGTGACAGAGAGAAGACAGAAGAAAAAAACAAATAGAAAATAAAACTAATTTATGACCTGCCATCATCATCATTCTCAATAATTTGTTTCAGTAATCCAAGATTTTTAACCCTGAGTCAATTTTTTTAGGAGAAAGAAAAGAAAACCACATTTAATAGTGTGCCAGAGACACATGCGGGCTGCTTTTCATGTGTTCCAGACTGAAATAAAAGTGAGTAGGCAGTTACCACTGTGTATTAAAACATATTTTTCTTAATCCTTGTTTTTTATTTTTGGATTTGTTCCCATTTATAAGACATATTCTACATTACTATGTTTTTTACTTGACAATAAGTAATAAAGACAAAATTTGTTTAATGGAACTTCACGCTGTACTTATTTGGCAAATTATTTGGACTGGTTGCAAGATAAAAATCTTTTTTCTTCTTGAGGACTATGTAGGAGAAAAGTCAGAAAAATTAATTATCCAAAACTGATTTGCATACTTTATATGTGTTTTGTTTAACCTCTGAATGTGGTAGCAATTTAATATTTAAGTAACAGGAAGGCATCTTGTACAAGTTCAAACAAAACCCAGGAAGATGACTTCAGAGATATAAAACACCTTTTACAATCAAAGACCTCTGACGGCAGTGGGACTCCAGCAATGGCTGCACAGCTGAGGGCCGTGATGATGCTCGAGTCACCCTCCCTTCCCTCTCCTCAGAGCCCAGGTCATTCTTATTGCAGAGGCTAGGTTTCTGGTTCTCAGTTCCCATGATAAAGGCTGGGTCTGGCTTCCTGCCACAGTTCCTGCCACCTGGAGAAATTTTTCTTAATCTAGTTTTCACCTCCCACTAGGGAAAGTAAACCCATTTGGGTGAGTTCAAAGCTGAAGAGATGGCTCAGCAGTTAAAGGTATCTGCTACTCTTGCAGAGGACCTGGATTCGATTCTCAGCATCTATATGTTGACTCACAATCATCCATGACTCCAGTTTCAAGGCATCTAATACCTTCTGATCTCCTCAGTTACCAGGTTTGTGTTTGGTGCACAGATGTAGATGCTAGCAAAACACTCATACACATAAAATAAAACAAATAAATCTAAAAAGAAATTTATTTTAATTTTCTCTAGGAAACAGGAATATCCCTCCCTGACCTAACCCTCATTTCCTCTTTCAAGACTTCTTCTCCCTCCTCTCCCTTCCCCTCCCCTTCCCTTCCCTCTTGTCTCCTCCTCCTCTTCTTTTTTTTTTTTTTAAAGATTTATTTTATTTATTTATTATGTATACAGCATGTTTGACCAGAAGAGGGCACCAGACCTTATTACAGGTGGTTGTGAGCCACCATGTGGTTGCTGGGAATTGAACTCAGGACCTCTGGAAGAGCAATTAGTACTCTTAACCTCTAAGCCATTTCTCCAGCCCCCTCCTCTTCTTCTTTATCCTCCTCCCCCCTCTTCTCTCCTTTCCCCTCTGTGGACAACGTCTGCCTTGTTCAAATGTGGGCTCGGGAAGGAGTAGGATGGTGGAGCACTACTTGTCCACTCCTAAGAGGATCTGAAGGAGATGGAGCAGAAATTCCAAATGGTCTCTGGGCAGTCTCATTCTAATCCTCTCTAGAAATTAGTGGGTATAATCAATTGTTTGGGGATTTATTTACTTTTATACATATACATTTACAAAATACATTTCCAATTAGTATTAAATTGGGTTAAGAAATCAAGATTGTCTATATGCCCAAATTGCCTTTATCTAAAGAGACACTTTTTCTCCATGAAAATAACTATGTGTCATTCTTTTAATGGACTTGTTGGCCATTAAAAAGCCTCTTCAGCATGTTGTCCTCATGTGGTAACTTGATCGTGACAGAGAAAGGACAAGGAGAAAATAAAAGCAAACCCAAGGACTGCACATGAAGGTCAGTGACAGCACACTTTCCTAGCACAGACAAGGGCATTAATGGCTTCTAGCCCAGTACCACAAACAAAAATAATTTTAAAAATTTAAAATAAATAAGACAAAAAAAAAAACTGTATACGTAATGTGAAGTGATTTGCAAAAAGAGTCAAGATTACTATAAACACTGGAAAGAAGTGCCATTTGGCTGACATTGAAACACAATTTTACCCATGATGATTTTATTTTCTGGGTTAGTCTAACCAGATCTTCTGCAACATTGTGTGGTTTGGGTGTGGTGGTGGAAGTCTGGGATGAGTCACACTGATGACCAATAGTTGGAGACTTGTTTTTTTTTTCTCTTTATGATGGAATGTGGTTTGTTCAGCTCTGAAGGCCTTCTGGATATTCTGCAAGCAGTCTTGTGCTGGTGTGCATGCCTGCAATTCTAGCACCTGTGGACTGTCTAGGATGAAGAGTTTGAGGCTAGTCTTGGATACATGGGGGAAAGGGGAGGGGAAAGGACAGAAGAGGGGGGAGGAGGATAAAGAAGAAGAGGAGGGGGCTGGAGAAATGGCTTAGAGGTTAAGAGTACTAATTGCTCTTCCAGAGGTCCTGAGTTCAATTCCCAGCAACCACATGGTGGCTCACAACCACCTGTAATAAGGTCTGGTGCCCTCTTCTGGTCAAACATGCTGTATACATAATAAATAAATAAAATAAATCTTTAAAAAAAAAAAA